CTTACGAGCCTTCGTCAGTTAATTTAAACTCCCTAGGAGTTAGATTCATGCAGGTCACACATTTTAAAACGATATATTGCAATGTGGAAGCCGAGGTGTTTTGGACGATTTTCACACAAGCGTTAAATGCTATTTTTATTTTGCATGCAATTTCCTAATTCTTCGTACTCGAGAAATAAAACGTCACTTTAACATGTCTATTACAAATTTTACGAGGTATTTCATGACAATCGTTTTTCTTGACAAACGTGCTAGAAAGACAGCAGAGCGGAATTTTCTCAAGAACGAACTGTCTACTTCGAAGCTTCAAATTGACAAATTCGAATATCTTCTTAGGTACAAATTTGTATATCAAGCATAAGAACAGTGTTCAAAACAGAAAGTGAACAAACAGTATTGACGCTTTATATTACTTTAAAGCTATAATAAATAATTGTATATACTGTATTTGTGACGTTTCTAATAATTGTATCAAATGGATTTTACCAAATAAAAAAAATCCTGAAACCGGTAAGATTACCAGCTATTTCTTTAGTTCAATTAGGACTAATTTCATCCTATTTACGTTCATTTGCACGAAATCTCTTGCGCCTTATAATGTCTCAAGGGGGTTCGTATGTTCTCTACCTTCTCGTCGACCGCCTCTGAGTTTGAGCCCAGCCTCCTGCGTCTTCCATGCTCGGACGGTGATTGTTTGACCTTGGCGTCGCCAGAAGGCGAACGAATGTGTGGCGACGGCGACGTTAGCGGGCCATTATTGCGTTGCGGACACTTGAATGCCCGTGCCCTTCGCGAGGCCTCGCCCCCTCCCACTCCCTCTCGGTGACGCGAGACATCCGCAGTGGGCGGGGGCAGGTCATTAAAGGCGTATTCATGGCAGTGGATTGTACATAATGCATGTAATAATCTTATTTACATCATTGGGATGTTATAGAAGCAGTGCCACACTTGGTGAGCCTGGTGCTGAATTTCCTTTCGCCTTCAAAATAATTAATAATGCAAGTACTTTGATGCATTTCCTTAATTACCTGCTGCATAAATTCTAAACCATTTGCCTTTCAAGGACTAAACCTAAAACGCAGGTCGTTTTGCTAGAATTTTTTTCGGGAGGGAGACTCGTCTAGACAAACTTTTGACGTATCATGCAGAACTTAACTGACAATACCTAACTCAATCATACCTAAATATTTCACGAAACCTATTCATGAAATTTTGACAAATATGCATTTCAGCAAGATTTTCAGAAGCGTAAGTCTGTAAATAGGCATTCTAATACCATTAGATCATGTAACTTTGCCATAAAGACATACCAGTAAGCCTGAACTGACTACACAACATTAAACAATTTTTTAAGTTCGTGAGGGGTTGTACTCCCGCCGTAATCACATGCCTGCGTTGCAATAAAAGCAGGCTCATGGTGGAGAAATGAGTAGGCCCGAATTTAGTGTGAGTCCTTAGGTGCTCCAACTTTCTCATGAACTTTCTGTCAATTTTTCCTTGCAGTCAGAGGCGAACCTGGAAGATGGGGGGGGAGTGGGGGTATGAAGCCGTTAGAAAATTCAGAAACCTTTCAGGGTGATCCAAATGAAAATTCACACACACACACACACACACACTCTTGGCTTTCAAAGTTTCTGGATCTAGCCCTGCAACTCAGGTTCTCCTGAAAGTCATGAATCCTCAGGCTATACATTTTTTTATAGACTCAAAACACTGCCAGAAAACGCTGCTTGAAAGTAAGCCTTCGAGTGGCCAAGCCACCCCACTTCCCCAGCTATCGAGTTCGACTCATCAAACAGCAGTCCTTCGTGGTAGTTTAGGGTATATGATGCTATTTACTAGAAAGTTGACAAAAAGCTTTATCTGGGTGAAATAGTACTGGAATTACCACACATGATATAATTGGGCAAGTCTCTGCATCTTTTTTCAAACGTCTAAAGGAGCAAAAGTGAAGTAGTAGTTACAGACCATAGTAGTGAGTCCATAAAGGCATTTTATCATCAAGAGAACGTATTTACCTCATCAGCACTTCATGCTCATGAGTATCAAAGGAGGGGGAGCATGATCTTTGTGTGGATACAGTATCTTTATAGTTGTGTTTCATGTTTGATTGTATTTTATTCAGTTTGTTTTAATAAAAAACAAACATTTAAAAAAGCAGTATTAGATTAGTGAAAGTTGACTAATTTTGTATAGTGTGTCCACACAAGCAGCACACACAATTGGAGTTAAAAACTGTATTACCTGTAGGCAATAGAAAGGTCTCTAAACAGCCTAATATTGAGAAGCATCTTTAATTTTCTGAATAAAATAACAATACTTGAAGACTATATACTTTAAAATATAAAAATAAAGCAATCAGAGACCCAGTTTTTAAGGAAATTTATTCACCTAAAAATGTGACAGGCTATTGGTCCTTTGGCTTTAAAAAGAAGTTGCTATCAAAGACTGAAGAAAAAAATATACCTATGCATTGTAGCACTGCTGGATCCAGGAGCAGGAGGGGGGAGGCCAAGGTCCCCCAAAACTCCTAGAGTTTTTGTTTACCTTCCCCCCTCTCCCCAAATGATCGGCTGGATCTGCCCCTGCCTTATAGCAGTATCAATAATAGGATTTGGAGATTGAAGTGCCATGTGCGATGAAGTGGTTTTGATACACAAGTGAACAGCACCCTGTCCATAACCCAGATCTGGCTTAGCATGCTCCAGGCCTTTGTGCCACTTTTTCTTTGCTGCGAGTCTTTGAACAAAAATATACAAATATGCATTTGAAAACTGAAATAAACTGGTATACTCATGAACTGAATGATCAATTTCATTATTTATTTATGTAATATCAAAACTGTGTGTGATGTGTAAATGGGAGAAAATCATAATATCCATTTTTGATGTAGGCACTGTAGTGGTTTTACAGATTAAAGGTGTTCCAGGTATTCCTTATGTTTGAGAATTGCAAACGGTAAAATTATTTACCTTAGGAAATGTTCAATATATGGCATCCCCAATCTTCCTTTTAGAGTTAGATAATTGTTTGAAGAGTGAAAAATATTGCCACCCTGTCCATCGTCCAATTACTCCTGAATAATAAACCATAATCACTATAAATAATGTGCTCACATTTTTTGTCAATGTGTAATGTGAAAGATCATGAGGTCATTAATATTTTGATATGCATTTGTCATCTGTGGAACATTAGTGTTGATATTCCAACTGTTCTGTCCTTGCACAATGGGTCGAATTCTGGCGCTGTCCCAACCAAATATTTGAACATAAATCTTTCTCATTGGCTGTGTCAGAGAGGGCACAATACGGTGAGTGTCCAGTCTGACTCCATAACAGTAGACCCTTGATGTGTGTGCCTAGTAGAATATAGGCGTAGATCTTCCAGTGGGAAAGTGTGTGTAGTAGTAAACTGATTACTAACATTGAAGTGGATCAAGAAGATTTTTACATAGCCCAAAGCATGCTACATTAACATGCATGAACTGTAATTTTGTAGTAGTATTGAAAATTGTGAAAATAATAGTAGTAGCTGTAGAAGAAACCAGTCATTGATACCTATTCTACCAACTTGTAGGCTTTTAGATTTAATTATTACAAAAGATTGAATTGAAAGTTAAAAATGTAAATGTAAAACAATTTCAAATCTTGAGTAGTAATTTTTGGCAACAATGACTGGGGATAGATGAAATGCCTATAATTCTAGACATATCTGTAGGTTCTTTATACTACAAAAAGTAACTTGTCCAGTACTGTCAGTGATATAGCATTTCCAATGTATTTTATTACAGATGTATACTTCAATTTATTTTGAATTTGAAAACTGTACTGCTTGCAAACAGAAGTGTAAAGTACAAAATTTACATTTTCAAATCCATTTAGACGACTTTGGATTTTCATGATTTGATACATTATTTTTCTCTTGTGAATTATTCTCTTGAGGATTATGAGGAGGAGGAGGTTAGTTTTCTGGAAGTTCATAGTAAAAAGTAATTGCTTTTAATTGAAATTGGGAATAGTAATTTAGTTCATTTTTTATCCATTTTAATCAGTTGTATTTATGGATAGTTCATATTTTGGAGTTTCATAGCAGGATATCTATATTTACAATATTTCATGTGATGCAGTATTTGACAGTTTCAAAGGGCATGGGAGCAAGGGAGAGATTGACGACTTAAGGAGCCCAACCACAGTGCCAAGTTCTGTGACTAAAAGGGGACTCTACCTAAATCTACAAGGACAAACTGATTTACTACAATACCTCTAATTTTTGCTTTTTATTTTATAGTTATCTATCAACTCAACTCAAACCTTAGAATTTCTATGCAGAAATGACTTCAATAAGACGTAACTCTAATGACTTTTTTAGAGATGGCTTTGCTCATAAACTGCAATCTATCTTTTATATTATTTTTTAAACTTATAATTATCTTTAAGACAATTTTGTCTCTCTCTGCTTGATTTACGACTACTATCTGCTTGACATCACTTTCTTGCAAACTAAGAATATATCTGCATTGTTACAAGTGTAAAAACAATAATACTGATGCGATTTACTTGTGCCATCTCCTTAATTTCTAGCAAAGCTTTGCTGTATTAATATAAGTTGATAATGATATAAGTATAGTATTGTCAATTCATAGTAAATAAAGATTACCTAATTGCAGCATACAAAATTTACAGACAAAACATTAATTCTGCCTCATTACTAGTTCAGAGAAGAAAATAGTGCAAATCATTTTTACATCTTAGTTCCAAATGTTACTGTTAAACTAATAAAAGAACCCCTGTTTAATTTGTATTAAGATTCTTTCTACTGTATCAGAGATTTGTATCATTTGTATAAGAATATGTCTTATTTTGACAATAAAATATACACTAAGTCAAGTACAGATTCAACTAATGGAATATATTTCCACCTCAATTGTGCTGAAAATGTATCATTGTACATGTTCAAAGTTATGTTTAAACATTTTAAATATTTTCAATGCTTTTGAACAGAATGTGACTTCCAAAATGGTGCACCTTGCAGACTTATTTTCTGTACCAGAAATGGGCCTTCTTTGCAATGTGACCGAGTATTTCTTACAAAATCACATTGACTTTCATCCTGAAATTCTCTTCAGAGATGTAAAGGTAAAAAAAGCTGAATTATCAATTTAATGCAAAGTTTAATGATAATAATTCAATATTCATGTGGATAACATTCTTAATATTCTTTTTTATCTAATTTCTTTTTCACTGGTGTAGAAGTGTTCTAATACTTTAATAAATGTTAATATTTGCAGAATTCAGTGCAGAGCAGCCATCCAGTAATGCATGGCATTGTTGAAAAAAATGTTGCTGATTACTTGGAGGAAAACAAGGATATTAAAAATTTCTTTGCAAGGTTAATTGCTGCCGATAAGAAACTGTTTCTCGTAACTAATAGTCCATATCATTTTGTGTGAGTGTTACATTGGAATAAAATCCTTAAAAAATATATTTTTGCATACATACTTGGACTTTACAATTAAATTATTTTGTGGGCAGAAATGAAGGAATGTCATACTTGGTTGGAAAAGATTGGACAAGTTATTTCGATGTCATCATTGTTCAAGCTAGAAAACCAAAATTTTTTACTGATGAATCTCGACCTATTAGATTGTACGATGAAGGCACAAACACTCAGCTATGGGACCGTGTTACAAAGCTGGATAAAGGACAAATTTACTATGAAGTACGTATTAGGATTTAAATTGCACAAGTTGTCTTAGTATTAATTTTGGAAGTAATGAATCGACATTACTGTTTTACTAATAGATGAAAATACAGGATGAATTATTTGGAGTGTAAAAAGCACCAGCATGATTAACAAATGTTTTTGATATAATGTTACTGAAAAATGCTTCATTTCTGTGAGCAGTTAGCAAAAAAAATTGTTTTAAACAAAATTCTGATATATTATTATAATCCATACCATCGAGAAGCTTGAACTTATGTTGAGACAGGTGTAAACATACTGCTGCATATCACTGGAGAGAAAATCAGTTTCTTCAGATACAATCAACAAAAACGGCAAATAACAACAGCATTGATTGACCATGTATGTAACTTCACCCTTTAGCTGGTGAGATGCAATGTGAGAAAATCTGAATTCTTTGCATATGCGTACTGCTTGAGGCCAAAATGATAAGACTTGTGTATTAGCAACATTGTAAGGAACATGTTAATTTTTTACACCTGAAATGTCTCATCCTGTGTATGGTACATAAAATTAATTTTTGGAACAAGAAGTTTCAATGATAAATTTTGTGAACCTGGATGCAAATGTAATAAAAGATCTTTATTTCCATCTAATATATTCTGTGTTCTCTGAAACATCTGCCATGTTCAACAGGGAACAGTGAAACAGCTCCAGGATATGACTGGGTGGAGAGGTCAAAGAGTTCTTTATTTTGGTGATCATCCATACAGTGACTTGGCTGATGTAACTTTAGAACATGGCTGGAGAACTGGAGCAATTATCAATGAACTAACGGTGTGTTTTTCATTTCACCTAATTATTTATGTCTCGGTCACTTTTGAATGAAGACATGCTTTATGCACTTTTAGGGAAACTCATTTACAATTATTTGACCAGCTTTTTTTTCTTACAAGTTACAATTAAAAAAGAAGTAATTACTCATATTTATTACATTTATTATGTTTCAGCATGAAATAAAAATGTTGAATGATCCAGAATTCAAACAAGATTGCAATTGGCTCCAAATGTTGACTCAATTAATAGAAGATTATCAGGATGTAGAAGAACCTGAGTCCCAAGCTACTCTTCGGCGATGGATGGATGAACGGGATCAACTGAGGTAGGGATTGCATTTATAAATTCTTGAAGTGGCCTTCTCAGCAATCTTCTTCCACTCCTTTGTCTTGAACCAGCTTCTTCTAATGCTTGATTTTCAGCTTGCATGGGTCTTCCACAACTTCGTCAGTACATTTCATTCTTAGTCTGCCTTTGCTCCTTGTTGCTATTGGTTTCCATTATTATTTTCTTAGTAATTCTATCTGGGCGCATCCTTTTAGTCTCCCAAACCAGGTGATTTTTCCTAATTTAATTTCATAGCAGATCCAAGGGGGAGCTATGGGGCTTGTGCCCATCCCCTCCTTCCCTGACCAAACATTTTTGTTATTGTAATTTTACTTAATTTATTTTTTAAAAAATGATATAAAGATTCCATTGCATTCAAATCGGTATTCTCATTATGATTTTTTTTTTCAAGTTAAATGAAAAAAAAAAAAAAAAGATTGTGAAACTACGTCAATGTCTTTTCTTGAATTAAAAAAGAATCAAAATAGTCTTAGATACTTGTACTTTATGTCTACAAAATTTCATCCTTCGTAATTGAAAGGATTCAGAACTACGAGTAATTTAATAGCAAAATTGGTGATGAAAAGTTGTTTTTTATACAACAAAATCAAATCACCCTACACATTCTCTTAATCAGTCAATCTTAAAGTTGCTGTAGAGATATATTTGCAATCATATCAATATGTATTTTAAAATTAATTTTTGAATCAAATATAACATCGAGATCCTTTATTGAGAAAACTTGTTCGAGGTATATATAGTTAATTTTGTAAATGACATTTCTACTTCTAGAAAAAGTTATGAATTTGCATTTTTTAGGATTCAGATATAATTAATTTAATAAACACCACTGATAGATAGCTGATATAATTTATATCTTTAATATTTTCGGTGGATTTTATCCTTTAAATAGTTTTAAATCATCAGCAAATATAAGAAATTCAATACTTCACAGAAGTGAGCAAATATCATTGATAAATACAACAAATAATAAAGGACCTAAATGTGAACCTTGGGGTACTCCCCGAGGATACAGTAATTTCATTAGAAATGAGGCCTCTGTATTTGATATATTGGACTCTTTTACACACATAATAGTTAACCATTTTAGAAGCATTCCAGATAAACCAAGGCATTTAAGTTTTAAAATTAACAATTTGTGATTTACAGAATCGAACGCCCTGCTAAAATCAATATTAATGGTATCAACTTGATTACTAATTTCCAGAGAGTTCAGAATGTACTGGAAAAAAAGTTACTTTCAATATTACATCCTGACCTAAATCCATCTTGATTGGCTGATATAAATGGAGTGTTAAGAAAATATTAGATGAAACTTTATTATACAGTTGGAGCTTGGAATTTTTTAATGGAACAATACTGGAAAATGTATTAAAATCATTACAAAATTGAATTATTTTTAGATAAAAAATATCATTAAAAAAATTCCCCCCCCCCTAGTTTTTATATTATGCTGTATCTGAAAATATAATTATTTCCAGGATTTCGACCCTGTAATATTTTGTTGGCTGTTTTGACAAATAATATCCCATACGATGGCGTTGTCTGATTTTTTTTTTTTTCTAGAGATCCTTCTACCTTTGATAAAAGGCCAATCGAATTCACAAGAATTCCTGATATATTACAAATATATGCTCGATATATAACTATATTCCCAATACAAATATATACTCAAAACTTTTTTAAAAACAATATTCATTTTATATTATTATTACAACAATATACATTATAAGAGTTTCAAAATTAAATTATTTTTTTCAGATTCCTGTTGAAATTATTACCATTGAATTTAACTGCAGTAGGATGTCAATAATTTGGAAATCAAAAATCGTCATTTGAGTACAATGAAAAAAAATCTCATGAAATGAACATTGTATCTGTGAATTAGTTTAAAAGCATCAACAGGACGTAATAATTTTATTAAAACTATAGATTTATAGTAAAAGATACAAAATGAGCTAAAAATCTGATAATACAAATTTAAATTTAGTTTTTATTTAATTGAGAATGATAATATAAGCCTTTGTTCATGTGAAGTGGATCTAGAAGGAATTTCTCAGAAACCACAATTGGTGCCTTAAATTTTCAACCACTTTTCATGTGTCTACATAAATTTAATTTTCTCAAGAATTTAAGAGCACAAGGAGGGTATAACACCCTTTGATCATTGTTCTCTGTGTGTGCCCTAAGCTCTTGTTTTCCAAATCAATTGTTTGTGTTGGTGTTTTTCTGTTTGTCTAGGTTGAATTTTTACATTTTCGTACATATACGGAGTAACATATGTAGTATAGAAAAAGTTATGTCATGCTGCGGAAAATCGATTTCGAGATTTCAACGGAAATGCACGTTGTGGGGTCCGTTGGTACCGAAAACATTTTTGTTTTTATTTATTAATTTTTTTCCCTTAAACGGCCGTGTGCGAACACACTTCTATCGCGTAAACGGCGGATTTTCGGTAGAAAAAGTTGTTTGTTGGCCCCTGATAACGAAAACATAAATCCAGTTGCTAAATAAGAAAAAACCTCTAACACGTAGTGTAGCCAGAATCCGTGTTTTGTGGGTCCTTTATACCGAAAAATTAATTGACGGCAAAACTGCCTGTGTATCTTTCCGTCCGTCTGCCCACTTGTGAAAATCACCAGCGACTTAACCATATAAATTATTTTTTCCAAATTGTAGACACCCTTGTCGATCTCGCTCGAGTCGAAGTTTTGAGATTTTGAAAAACATTTTTTAAAAATGTGGGGGTACTATACATGAAGCCCCAGAGACATTTTAAAAATTTTCTGAAAAAGCGGTTCCAAATTTTATCTTTGAATTTTTTGTTAGAATACAGTAAAATCCGATTTCCGGTTAATTCAGAATTCTTTAGGCGCTTTCTACAACTACAAAATTGAAGATAGAGATTCTTTCAAGGGAATTTTGTTGAACATAATTAGTTTGTTCATTAAGGTCATGTACATTTTTTGAAAATTTTAGTACTTTTCGCGCAATATGTGAAATTGTAAAAAATAACAAAAGTAAGATTTCTCGAAAACGACTCAAAATTTTTTCTTTAAACTTTAGTAAGTATAGTGCTAAATGCACTCTATTTAATAAGATGATCAATCGTCCTTCTTTAGGGTGGACAGTCCTCCTCTTATAGGTCCTGCTCTTCCTCGAAAAGTGCCTTCCTACCTGACCTCCTTTTCGATATTTTAAAACTTATCTAATCTCTTTATTCAGAGATGCCGCGCCGAACTGTTACGCGTCTGTGTGACGGTACAGTTCGGAAAGACACGATCAGGTTGTCAACAAGCGGGATTCCCGCTGTTTCCAGCGGAATTTCTACTCGTACAATACCGCAGGGAAAAAGGCGTTTCGCGGACAGTGGAGAAATTGAAGTGGAAACAGTGGAAAATAATTGAGATGGAGAAAAATAAGCGGGAAAATACTTTTTAAAGAAATAATGAAAAGGGTTAGGCGCTCGTACACGCACATAATTAGTGTATTCTTGTTTGAATTAATAAAATTATGTTGTCCTTTTTTCCCAATTGTTTTTGTCCTCCATTTAATCGTGAACAAATTGGTCACCTTATATGTGATGATATTAACACCATATTGCTGGATTCTTTTGTTTTTGCAAATATTTCAAAATTTATTTTTTTTATGAGCCTCTCATGTTGTTAATCTTTACATTAGCTGTAATTTGTTCACATTATTGTCTTTATGAGTATACATGCTTTAAATGATGTTTAATAAAGTTTCTTGAAAACTCAATAGTTTTCTGTGAAAACAAGCTCAAAATTCTGCATTTTCAGAAACAATCAAATGCCATTTTCTAAAATCCAAATTTTTTCTTCAAACGTTTCGTATGGATAGTGCACATTACACTGTTTAAGATAACATGGAATTAATTTTGTTGTATTCTTTTGTTTTTTCAAAAATTACACTTTTTTTTTGGTAGTATCTCTCACTCTGTTATTAGGACATTTCCAGAAAATGTATATATTATTGCACTTGTGAGAGAAAGATCTTCAAATGATTTCAGATGAATTTTTTTGAAAACAAAAGATTCCTGTGAAAAAGGAGCTTAAAATTTTTTGCATTTACTATAGCTTAAGCATTTTTTCTTAAAAACGGCTCCAAAGTTTTCAGTTAAAATTTCCATTTAGGACTAAGTTTTACTATTCTTTAATATTTTAAATGTAACATTTAGAATCCACCATTAGGATACCAAAAAATTGAGATGATTTCCAAAAAATGTATTTAAAGTGGCAATACATGGCAGCAGCCAAGACGATGAGGGCAAGACTAAAGCTAGCCATATTTTAATAAGTTATACAATAAGAAAGTATGTGCCATTCTGTTGCACCACTAGTTGTTACTGTCTATTGTTTTTATTACCTGTCATGACATTTAATGTGCAGAAAAAACACACTTTATTGAAACGCAGTAAACAATTTTAAAAAGGTTACAAGGAGAAGACTTCAACGCAATACCAGCCCTTTTCTTTGCTCATTTAAAAAATCCACACAATTTGACAGTCTGGCAACCCAATTAATCTTGATTACTGAGGTTTGACTGTATTCAATTTTTTGAAAGTAGTGCAGCTAATTTACCACGATTTTCAGTGGGTAGTCAAGATGAGATATTCCCAGTTGTCACAACTGAAAAGTCTATATTGCTGCTTAAAAGCATTATCTTCAGAGTTCTTATATACGAGAAGGCCGTAAAAGAATTGCTAATACTAGCACATTGAATTGAGCACTTACTAACCGCTCTCGATGACTTAACCAGCCACAGCCGTTTTTGTTCTTTTCCTGGTAATAAGCTCTCCTCCTTATCACTGCATTCAGAGAATTTCAGCTGTTTGGCAGTTTCCAGCCATGTCTGGCATAATTCATCACTTGAACTCACAGTGCGAACTTGCGAGTGAAATGATGCAAAATATTTGAGTGCACTCTGATTGCTTAGTGCTTTTACTGAGTTTTAGTTGTGTTATAATTCTTTTAATTGTCATGCATTATGGAAAAACTTTATGAATATACTGAATATCAGCTGAAACCAATATGATGAGAAGCGGTGAGAATATTTGACTCTGCCCTTTGTTAATTAATTAATTAATTGTTAGTTAAATTCAAAGAAAGGAAAGTTCACTTGATAAGCACCTTATGCTGTCAATAGTGAGATTTACTAGTGGCCCCTGAGGGAGTGTCAAAGTTCTTTCAAAAATAAAAGACAAGGCCAACAAAACAGGCCAGTAAAAATGTTTGGGTGTTTGCTGGATTTTGTAATTTAAAGGCTGTTAAAATTCAATGAATGAAATATTCTGATTTTTGTGAGCCTTAGCTGATCACAAGCGAGCCTTAGCTGATTGCGGCAGAGATGGTGTAACGGTTAGGGTACCGGACTGTTGTACCCAAGTTGGCGTGTTCAAACCTGATCGAAGCCGTGGATTTTTAAGGGCGAAAAAAATCCTTCGTACGCTTCCTTTGGAGGGGAAGTAAAGCTGGCTTTCCCATGTTAGTAAATTTACTTGCATGTTAAAGATCCTCAAGCCTAAATGACGCCTCTGAGCTAAATTCAAATCGCCTGTTTCTCGTCCAAGAAATACCTCCTTTCTTCTAGTAGATGAAAGGAGCGTAGCGAAATTTGCGTGGTCAGACGGAAGAGCAGGCCTGATGGCCCGAGTCTTGCCACGTAAAATAAGGCAAATTCAATTCAATCACAATCCAATAAATTTGAGTTTAACCCCACCTCAAACTTAGAGTCCACCTTACATCCGTGGTCACAGGAACAACAAACCAAAGAATTCTGTAACAATATCAATTTTAACATGGGTGTTAGATGTTCAGAACATTTACTGAAAAGAAAGAAATAATACCAGAAAAACAAACATTATTTGAAAAGTCAGAATTATTCAAAAAGACAGAACACTCAATGAAAAATATTCCAAACGCTTCAGAAAGATGCGCTCAGATATTTGACAAATCTTGTGATGCCATGCCTCGTCACTGCTTAGAATTAAGATACTAAAATAAAGTAATTTCTTGTTCCTTAAAGTGTACATAACACATTTGATCAAAAAGAGAACATAGCCAGTTTTGCAGGCACAATGACATAATAAATTCCCATCATATGCATTAATTTCTAAAATAATTGTAATAATAAAATCCTTTTTGTTGCAGACACAAGAGCAAAGATGTATTCAACAAGCAGTTTGGAAGTGTGTTTCGTACATTTCATAATCCTACCTATTTCTCTCGACGTCTATTTCGATTTGCAGATATTTATACATCAAATATAACAAATTTGCTCAATTATTCAGTAAACCACACATTCTATCCAAGGAGAGGAGTAATGCCTCATGAGTATTCATCGTATTTTGTGTGATCAAAAATATTGTAATTAGAAAAAAGTGAAATGTATTTATCTGTTAGAGTTGTTTTTACGTTAATGTTGATTTTGAGAAATGTAATATATTGCACGAACTGTAAAAGGGAAGTACAAAAAATGCTTTGATTTAAAACCAAAGAAGTTTAAAATGAACATTTTCCTCTCTTCTGTAGGTAAAGTAATCTCTATTATATTTTGTCTCGATCATATAAACATAGAAGAGTTCTAGAATGATATTTTTAGTGTAGTTACAAGAGACAATAGGAACGAAACAACTTTCTACAATAAGCGGAAAATTGTTTAAACATAATACCAACTATTTCTGAGAAAAAAATGAATTGTCAAGTGCACAAATTTAACCAAATAATTGACAATAAAATTTTTACCATGCCTTTGTTTGTTTTGTTTATTTTTGCAGCAAAATTGCTCTATTTTAATATATCTCTCCTTGGTACATTTTACAACAGAATAATAGCTATTTTCAAAAGAGAAGAAATGGACATGTTTTATTGTAATTACAAGATATCATGGTAATCTTAGAAGCCAATTAACGTGTATAACCTACAATCTTTAATTTCAAAGGAAAACAAAAAGCTTTCTTTAAGTTATTGTACATTTATTTTAAGAAACTTAAGAAGAAAACAGGAAGGAAATGTTTTGATGAAACATATTTGAGCCCATTTCATCTTAAAATTCCAGTTTAGAAAAATATAACATAATTTTTCTGTCAATGACACACAAATTCATTTATCATTATTCAATTTTTAAAAAAAATCAAAATTCACTACAAATCAAAATTTACCTATGAAATTGTTGAAAACAAATTACAGTTAACTATAACAAAGCATTTGTTCCAAAACAAAATTTTAAAATTTTGACTTCATGAAATACAATAAATGAAACTAAATAACACCATACAGTTATTTTCACATGAGCTTTTTGTTTTCACAGGATGTGCATTTCATAACACATTCAAATTATAATTTCAAATATTATCTCCAAGAGAACATGTTTGTCATACACACTATGAAATTAAACATAAATTGTTTCCAATTTCCCTTTCTTTGTTCTATGTCTTTTCTAAGCTACTTTTTACAACTGAATTACATGATTGATTCTCACATATATCATTCATGTTAAAAGTTTAAAAAAACAAAGAAAGAATTTTACAACTGGCACTGTTGAACAATACAATACACATTCCATTCTGTGGTAAACTCAGAACTGAAAATTGAGTGTTTCTAAAATGCAAACAACAGGAAGACAGACAGACACATTCGCACACATAAAAAATTCACAAGGTCACTTTATTTTTTAAGTTAAAAATTATCACAATTTGCCCTTGTAATACATTATAAATACCTTAAAATTTATTGAGACACTGGAGTAATATAGTCCTTAATTTTTGTCTCAAAAGCATATCACCTTCACAAAATATATGTGTTGATGAATCTTCAACTTGGATGAGTGTATCTTCATTTGGCTGGATAGAAAATATAGAAGTTTTCATTAAAGTTTGTTTTCCTACCTTCACTTATCATTAACAGTAATGTAAAAAGGTGTAATGTGATAAAATAACAAATTTCTAATTAAATTGAGTAAGAACAAATTAATCTTTTTAAAAGTATTTTAGATAAATTAAATATGAACAAATGTTAGTAATGTGTAATTGATTTTTCAGTGTACACCTGGTGAGAGAAAGTAAGTTCCCGAAACATGAAAATTATATCAATAAATGACATAAAATAACAAAGGTGTTTATTTTATGAACCATGACTAGCTACCATATAAAATAAAATAGGAAAATATTACTATATATAAGAAAAAGTGAAATTTAAAACATACCACAAACTATTTATAAGCAGCAAAATAAAGGTGATACAACATATATAGATATTTCCTTCAAAGTGCAACTATAATTTTCCACAATTAACAAGTAAACAGGCAAAATATGGAATAAAGTATTTGACACTACAGAACAAACTTGCAATTGATTCACCTTGGTTTCTTTTTCTATTTGAATGATCAAAAACAATTACATGTACTTCTCTTGTGCCCAAAGCATCTTTCTCATTGAGTCAGTCTAGGAGTGCATCCCTTTAGATTGCCTGAAGAGTTTGGAATCAACATTCTACACATAAAAATAACAAATGTGCCAGAATATGTTAATTGACTTGCTGACGTTTCTGAGCCACAATCCAAAGGTCAAGTCTTCAATCAATAATTATAATGTAGAACTTTCTGATGATGCAAATACATTTATTTATAATTTCTACTTCAGAAGTGCTGTTCACTTATTTCATTACCTGCACTATTTTCTCAATTTTGAATAACACAGCAGAAAATAAAATAAAATTGACATTAAAGCTTTGTCCACCTTATTTATTTTGCCTATTTATGCAACACTCATAGCTAGTTTCATTTTGTATGGCCCTCTTCCAGGTGCCTACAATATGAGTTTTTAGAATCTAAACATCCAAATTCCTTAATGAATCAGACCAAGGTATTGACACAATCTCAAATAAAAATATTATCTTACCAAATGAATAATATATCCACTTGCTACTTGTTCCACTTTTGCATCTGTAATCCCTTCCTGGGTAATTTTTTGTATAAATTCATCAATGTCTAGAACTCCCCATGTATAATTTGTAGGTTTCTTATTCAATGCTTCTTCTAAAGCTCGTGATTTTTTTCGGCTTGAGGGTTTCTCCGGTTCTTCCAAAATCTATTCAAATTAATATCAGTAAATTATTTCAGTGCAAATACTGATACGAAATAATTAAATAAAATTCTATTAAATTTTGATTTTCTAGCAACAGAAAACACATATCTGCAAATGATTACACTACAATATATATATTCACTTCATTATATTAATATAAAAGAGAAGAAATTAAAAAATAAATTTAAAAGTCATACTGTAATCAAAGTATTTCCCACTCTTGAGCCTACTGCGGATTTTCCTGATCATATTTTGCTGCTACATCTATGTCTCAAATTTCATTGCTTCACAAATATTGTGACATAGATACTGCTGTGTGATATACATGTGCAACACAATAAAATATTTTTTGAACTTGTTTCTAATTTGTAGGAAATATTTTTAGGTGCCCCTAAAATCATCAGCCAATCTGGGTAGTCGAGGTTGCTAAGGCAGTAGTGTCATGGCGATCTCGGATCGTGTGTTTGAATCCTATCTCGGGTATGGATGCATTTGTGATTGTCTTTACACCCCTCATCATCATATCATCCTATCACTTCATTAAAGAAGTGATATGATGATAATTAGAAGTGAGAAGTAATAATTCCTTGCTCAAGCAGGAGACCCTTGCCCTTAATGGGTTGTGCAGTTGGCTAATAACAAAAATCTATCAATTTGTGTGATAGGCAAAGATTTGTACCAATGGATTGTGAATTAATATTGCTATGGATATATAGTTCTTTTCCTATCCTTATTTTGAATTTTATATTTACATCATGTGGTCAATTTTGCTAAATTAGAATATTAGTAAGAAATGGATTTGTTCTTGAAGTTCTATTTCTTATTAAAAAATCAGTAATGTAAGATTCTCTTAAAATTTAATACCTTTCGTTAAGATTTGCATGTATCTGAAAAAATAAACCATGCTGGATTACCTGGGTTATAACAGGGAAAGAATGAGATATTAAAAGCCCCACCAATACCATGACTTTTCAGAGAACATTTAGGCGAAATTTGCAATTTTTTTTTAGGCCTAAATGAAATTGGAGTGTGTCTGCAATTTCAAAATAACTGCCTTTTTATATTCTCATATGCTCATGTAGATCATTTAAAAACCAATATATTTGTTTTTATGATTTTTGTCTTTTTTGTTCCTTCTATTGTGGCTAAGCTGTGGAATGGCAGAATTGATTTTAATACAGTTTTCACTGCAAGGTAAGGTGCTTTGCCTGGCATACCTTAGGCTTCATTTTTTCAAAATTATAATTTTTTGTACCTAAAGCAAAATTAAGAGTACACACATTGAGACTATTCCTAAGGGCACCATGAAACTGAAACATGGGAACATGCGGTCTGTTTCCATCGTAGTTCCCTCCACTTGTTGATCACAGCAAAATGTCAAATGAATGGTTGCACTGCATGCATAAGAAACAACTTGCTACAAATACAAATACTGCAAGAAATATCAGTTAATACCTTGAGTGTGTGCTTATTGTCTTTCACTTGTATCGCAGCTGTCAATGTAGCAAGGGCTACTCCTGATCTCACTTCATTTGGCACTAGATTTTCAGCCAATTCAGGACTCATATCCACTTGTGTTTGCTTCCTCTTCAGAGGAAGAGTGAGAACTTCATCTCGTTTGAAAGATAAGAGAGGCCTATCCTGAAAAATATTCATTATTTCATTTCTAAATAAAAGCGTTATTCAGAAGAAGCAGTAAATTGCACTTACTGTTTCTATAATAAGATCCAATCGGTGAGGAGCTGTACCAGGCGGTTGTCTATAGGATTCTGGCAAAACCAAGGTGCCTGGTTTTAAATCTCTGATTAGTTTATTGGCTTGTGTGAAGTTCAAGCTTGTATCAATAGGGCAATGTACAGCTTTCATGGCCAAAGGTTGGAAAGGTGCTAGTGCTTCCAAATATGGAAAGTCTGGTTCTGTAATATACAGATCACTGTATTAATGGTAAAGAAAGCAAATACAATGAAATGTTTCCAATACATTAAATACATTAGTATTAATTCCTAATGAAACTCGGCGGAACTAGTACTTTTTTTTGTTATTGAGAGTTTTCATTATACAGCGGGTATTGGCCAAATCATAAACCAACAATCCTCAAGAAATATCTACTTTATCAAGAGATTTTCATCATGAAGTTAAAGATAGAGAGTGTGCAGTATAAGATTAATGTTTTTGATGAAGGCTATGGCTCTTTTTATAGCAAGAATTATTTAAAAAACAAATAAAATGCAATTTACATGCTTAAATTAGAAATTATTGGAAAAGAATATTAGGAAGTACAAGTGGCCTGTAGCAGCAATAATGCTACTGAACGAAACTAAATGTTTTTGGATTTTTCCTGAGTTCCTGAGTCTAATGAAATCATAGACATCTCTCACATGACCAGAGGCTGAATAGTTTGTTATCAATTTTTGTACGCAAATTAGTCTGAAATTAGTAAAATAGATTGAAAATACTTTTCAAGTAATAATACTTACATTTTATTAAATTTGTATTGTTTCTTCAAAATACCATTTAAAATTTAAAACTTAATCCCCAAAACATGTCTATGTTATACTTTACCTGTAAAAATTATTGTGTTTAAAGCATTACCACCCCATAGTTCAACAAAATGAACTGCATCTCCAAATCTAAGACTTGGGTGACCACAAAACACAACACAGGGTTGTTTGTAATCTGTACTGAAGCCTTCAGTATATATGTGTTTGAAATGTTTGAGACGGCCATTTCTCACAAGGAATGCATGGGGAAAAGGCTCTTCTGGTAAGTACACTTTGTTTTGCTTGTTTGTTGAAAGCCTTAAAAAAAAACAACAACAAAAAAAAAAAAAACGTTTACAAATAATTATGAAACTTCTCAAAATGAAGAGGGAAAGATATTAATAATTATTTTTTAATGTAAGATGATTCTTACTCATACAATGCTAGAAGATAATGTGGGGGATCTATTTCCTCTGCAGTGTAACCCAATAATTTATTTGCACTACACACTGCAAAATTAACAGGGCAATTGTACATGATAATTAGAGATTTTCGCTACTTTCTTACCATTCTGCTAAAATATTAGAATAAGCCAATGAAGTGTCTGCAACTGGTGATATGAAGAACATAGGAATGGATGTCATTCCAGATGCATCCAAATGACTCGATAAACATTCAAATAAATCATACACAACACCAGATGGATAACAGGGAATTAGAACACTCCCACCACATCGAAGTGTGTTAGCTGAAAAGTTTACATTAAGTTACAACAACAAACAATTGATATTTGTCACATAGCAAAATTTTAAATAGGTATATTAACCCAATATCACTCTGCCCTCATTTGAGGGCACAGATTTCTGGTCTACTTACATTGTCTTCCTTTGCTCAAATTGTGAATATTACATCCTCAATACATCACACAATTGCATTGAAAAGTATAGTGCATGACATGCAGCAAAATTAATTCAGACACTCAGTCAGAAGAGTTAGTTCCATTTTTTACAATATACACGATACAATTTTCTACATTTAAAAAATTGCATATATTCTTCCCTCAAGAGAAACACTTGCTTTTTTAACACTATTTCTCATACTATTATCGGGATAAATATTTAAAAAACTCTCTTTTGATATAATTTATCATTTTACTAATTTTTACCAATCTGGAAACTGACACCATCAAATATGAGGTGGAAATACATTGAAACGTTGTTTTACCTTACATACAGTAAGATATTGGGCAGTTTTCAAGTCCAGGTCTTTTGGCTGGAATGTTTCTATTGACAGAACTCAGTGGGAAATGGAAGAATGTGTAACGGTTGAACTTCTTATAATATATTATAACAATCTATTGGCACTTTGCTTTCCTGCCTAGGCATAACATGCCTAAGGAATGGTTGCTTTTAACCGCCCTCTAATCCCGGTGTTATACTTGGTACAACAGACTGAGAGTTTTGCTTTTGGGAACTCTTTGATGAATATATTGTCTTTCCTGCGTCTACCTATTCCTGACTAATCTCTTTTGCTATCTGTTCCTTGAATTCTGGAGCCAGACCGCTTTCCTGTTGTCAATAATGTGCATTGTTGATACTCGGTTGTTCAGAGTACAAACCACATGAAAATTCTTATGAAAATTTCATTAGAAAAGAAAATAAGGTGACAAGGATGTGCAGTGCGAAGACATACTTGTGAGAATCATTCAAAGAAAATTGTTTGCAATAACTGTGACATAGCTGTGTGTGATTAATTTAAAAACTGTCTACATGAAGATAAAAAACAAAATTTAAAAAAATGTTTTCAATCCTCATGAATACTGAAAACTATCAAGTATTATGTGTCTTAAATATTTTTATGCAATGTAATATGTCACACAACTAGGAATGAAATACATCTGAAGTTATAAAATATCTTTTTAGCTTTGTAATAAAACTTCATTTCATGCAAATATATTTTTAAGCATTTAATAAATAAAATACACAAGTACATAAACAAATTGAATGTAACAATGAGGGTTAAATTAATTTTAAAAATCCACTATTTTATTGAGACCAAAGTGTCATTGGTGGTGTTACTTTTACCTTATATACTACCTTTGAATTCTCTGAAGACCTTGAGAATTACACTTTTTTTTTATCAACTACATACCAATTTCATACAAGAACTCACCTACTGTCATACACAGCTCTCCTAACATTGAATCAGGATTAGCAGTTGGGGTTTGGGTCAATCCGGTGAGTATAAGAACATTTGCATTTTTTAGTGCTCCTTGATCCATTGGTCTGAAAAAAGCAGTTGCATATTTGGAAAATCTTTAACAAATTTACCCATATTATTTTAGAAGATGAAGACAACTTACTTGGGATGTGTGGTCAGAGTTGAAGAACCACTGACATACGCAATTTTCTCATAATGTGAATTTATAACCCAATTACTTGATCCCAAACAATACCCTGAGCTTACTGCAGTCACTTCTAAGGCACCATATATATCCTAAAATGAAAAGAAAAGATTAAATGGAATTTATTTTTCTCTACAGGTGTTAACTGTGTGTAAAATATATATATATATATTTTAAGCAAGATAATCAATGGAAATAATAAACTGTTAGAATGTATCGTTCCCACATACCACAGGTAAATCACACAGCAGGAATTATACAGAGAAAACCCAAGGAAATGGTTTGTCACATTTAAAAATATTCATTTGATGTGAGACTATACTTTGGCAGAAGAAAGGATTAATATGAGCTGATGTGTCATGGGTTACATGCAACAAGTAGTAGTCTGAGAGAAAGTGGCCTTTTTTTTTAAATACTCTAGATAGATTTTTTTTTCATTTGTGTTGGAGCAACTTTTAGTTTTACCCAACTCCCAGCTGCCGTCTTTTGACCCCAGAGGAAAATACCAGTCTCTACCAGCCAAGGTATCTTGTGGGCCACGTTTCAGTGCATGTAATATTAGTATCACACAGGTAGGGCAAGGGATTAAGAGAATGTTAGGATGTATATTGGTTAAACCTGAGGTTCTGGAAATGTACCCCATGCCACAAACAACTGACAGACCGAGGATGTCATCTGACCCAGATGTGAAGGGTAACTGTCTCATACAGACAGTCCTCCACCGTGGACAAGGAATGAGTGAATACAATAGGAAAGGTGGTGCATGAAGGGTGAAAGCCAATAGAGTGATAAATCCAGGCCTATGCAGGACTGAAACCTGTGATTCCACTCACCATACCATTGCTCACTTCAGCAACACAAAACAGAGATTTCAACTATTACTGATTACCCTTAATGATTCCAGAATTCACATACTCTTACAATTTGTGATGAAACTATTATTGTGTATGTTCTTGTAGTGATAAATGTTCTGAACCTAAGAACCATAGATCACTAAATGAATGAATGCTAGTTGAGTGTTTAAAATACATTTTTATTAGGATTTCCTTACTGGTAATGGAAGTTCCATTACATTCAATGTTTGTAAATGTCAATTATCTTGATTACACTCAAAGTGGGGCTTATCTTGTTACTGCCTTCATTTTATTCTTATGGATGAAGGTTTGTGGGAAGAAGACGTTCTTTGGTTGGCAGAGTTTATCTTATTGTTGTAATGTCCCAAGCCCTTCATTTTCTTTCAATAACTTTTAAAATATGTTAAAGACTGAGCATTGCTAACTTGATCTGAGGTTATTAGATAATTTGTTGCATAAAAATTTAGGAGAGATGGATGAAAATAATTAATATGCAACCTACCAATTTCTCATTGTATCCCACCATTTGAATCTTTGCAAGACTGTCATTCACAGCTTTCATGTCATAAATATGCCTCCAGTTTCTTGGTTTCAGACTGTCTGACAAAGGAGCTGGCAATACATGCAGATGTTCTTTCCAGTGACTTGCCAAAGTAGCCTTTGGAGTTTGCTCAATGTGGTGAACTAATTCTTCCAGAAACAACCTTTATCACACATAAACTTTCTATACAATCATTATTACAATTCCAAGTTTTATATTGTAAATACACTTAAATTTTTTTAAAAAAATTAGATACAATAAAGAAGAAACTAAGTACCTTCCTATCTGCATTGTTGGTTCTGTTGCATACACGACACCTGAAAATCCTGTACCTTCGGTTATGTATGGAAGAGCTAGCATACATAAGTAATTTGATATTAAAATTACATCAACTTCTGAGAAGTCAACTATTTTTGGCTGTGGTGGGAAAAATTCTGGGGCTGAATCAACAAAAACTCTGCCACAACATTCTTTCAATTCCTGGAAAAAAGAAACTGAAATGTGACTCTCTTGATACATATAAATTCCCAATCATTTTTGGTAATCACTAAAACCCACCCCTTCAAGATGAGCATCAGCAATATCACGAGGCATCCAACCAGGCAAATTGTTCAGTCGAGCACTAGGAACTAGAGGTAATGGAAGAAAGTTGAGAACAGTATGGGCGGACAACCCACAATCTAACATCAATGTTATTTCTTTAAACCGTAAAATGTAACACGGTTTATTTGGATCACAACTCAAGCAGTACTAGAAAAAATAATGAAACAAGAAATATAGTTTTCAGGGAAATATGTGCCTTCAAGTGCTTAATTTTAAATTCAAATATAAAACTTACAAGCTTCATCTTTTCTCAGTTTATTAAGTTTTGTTAATCTGGAATTATCTACACAATACTTTCGAGTGTGAGAAAATAAAATTCAGTTTCATAACCTCAAATCGACACAATAATCCCATACGATGTTTACTATTCAACTCACTGTGCAATGTTGGTCACACTGTTTGCTTGCGCTAACAAGTGTGCAAACTGTATTTTAGAACGTTTTATTGGATGCTCACACGTCCAATAGGAATCTTGTTTAGTAAATCGAAATTGACAGAGCGCTTATTTTCAAGTCCGCCCGTTTGCCTAAACAACACCACAGTATTGCTGTACTTAAAATAATCTATTTACACGGTGACAAAACTAGCGCCGAAACCCGATAGAGGAGTTTGTCAAAGATGAATATTATTCTCTTTCAATTTCAAACTGACAAAACGGACAGCGACTTTTGGCAAGGAAAGGTGCTGAAAGTGTGAAAATGGAATAATCAAGGGATATCAACAAGAGCTGATAAAATAATTAGCTAAAAAAAATAGCTAGTGTCAACAATTCTGCCACCATCAGGGCTCAAATCCTAGGGCCTCCAGGTCAGAGGCACTACAGTGACATCAATTGATGCCCTGAGCCAACCAAGCTGGTAACGTGGAGACTTCAATGGCAGATACGGATCCATTGACAGGTACACAGTAGTAGGTCCAAACAGGATGAATAATAGGGAACGATTGATTGAGATGTGTTTAAAAAAACTATTAAAAATAACTAATGAATGGCTCACACCTAAGGATAACTACTGATTCAGGGTGTATCCAAAGACAAATTTTGGGAAGTGAAATTAATTTTTTTTGGTCGAACTGGTCATATTACTGATTTTGTGTAACGTCACAGGTACACTCAGCTCATGCTGGGATACGATTTTACTCGTTTTAATGAATTTCCAAAAAAAATTTGCTTGAAAGTTTCTTTCAAGATAAAATTGTTACTGAAAAAATTTAGGGGAGAAGGATTTCCCTCATTTCCCTACCCGTGGATCCACACCTGACTAATTACATGGATCCAACACGCTCGAAAGCTGCAGTTCGTTATATATTTGTTACTGAAAAACAGCATGCTGAATTAGGTAAAAGTAAGTGGTGAACTAGCTATGAGAGGATTCGAATGTGGCTCTGACCAGTACTTTCTATCTTCGAGAATGTATTTTCCTATTCGAAAGCAGGTCGAACATTTATATGGCCAGAATTTAAGTGACGATTCCAACGGAATTTCTAACTTTCAAGTAGGATCTGGAAGGCCTTGAGAATGACTGCCAAATCCTTGCATTTAAGACAAAAAGTTCAAAAAAATCAGTAACCAATAAAAAGATTAAAATAGTATTCTCCATTTTTCTGAAGAAAAAAACAACAAACAAATTCATTAATACCCCACACCCACTACGCCCACCCACAACCTACCCCTCACAAGAGAACCTCCCCTGTCCCCATCACATCCTTTTCGCTTCCCCTCCTCTCCATTCACCATTGTATAAGGGGAAAGGAAGGATTAAAAATAATATTTATTTATTTATTTATTTATTTATTTATTTATTTATTTATTTATTTATTTATTTATTTATTTAAAGCAATTAATTACTGTGTGTGATATGCTAGGGGGAGAAGTTAATTTGAAGTTACATTTATGTCCAGAAGCATATCAAGGGGCTAATGTCAGCATTTGCTCAAGAATCAGGGAAACCTGAACGAAAACCTGATCGAGAATAGTTATGAAACGTATTATTTGAAACTGAAGAAAGAGACCCAAATGAACTTTATAAAGACAAAAAATGAGAACTTGGAAATTACCTGTAGAGAACTTGATAGTTGCATAGGTAAAATAAAATCGTGACGTAATCGTAAGGATGAAAAGCAATAACGGGATTAATAATGGAAAATAAAGATACACCTTAGATGAGTGCAATTCGGTTACAAGAGCAGGTAAACTATTAATCAGAATCTATTAACCAAAGACGAAACGCAATATCTGTAGCTTGTGTAAGAGGAGACAGAAAATATACATTGAATATCTAGCCTATCGCCGCAGACGTAAGAGACGTTATTGAACTAGTGGTGCTACAGAATGGCACTTTCCGTATTAGTTTTCTATTTCCTTATACTCTGTTAGCTATTCGAACTATTTTTGCCCGCTGTCATCTATCGCTGCCCAAAGTACATTTTTTGACACTTTCTTAATTTTTCGGTTTCCTAATTGTAGAACGGAAATATTATTTTAAGATTATTAAAGAACAGTAAAATCTAGACCTAAATGGAATTTTTTTTGAAACATTTGGAGCCGTTTTTTTAAAATTGTCGTTTCAGCGCGAAATTTGAAGCTCTTTTTCACAGAAAATATTTGAGTTCTTGAAAAACTTCAAATGCAGTCATTCTAAGTATTTTAACACACAAATACAACAGTGTTTACAATTTGCTGAAAATGTGCATATCAACGGCGTGAGAGATCTTTCAAAAAATTTACATTTCTGTAATTTTTAAGAAACAAACAATACAGCGAAATTAACTTTACGTCATATTAAAGAGTGCAATTAGCACTATGTGCTCGAAATGTTTGAAGAAAAAATTTGGAGCAACGCCTGTCAAAAAATTACATTTTTGTAGTTTTTGAAATATAACAACAGATTAGAGCGATATGGCCTACTGGCACCTGTGGCCAACTGTAGAGAAGGAAGCGTAATGGAATAGGACTGCCTGTAAATGTCAATATATTACAAACATTACACTTTGTCAATGTTCAAATTGAGTGATGAGGATGAGCTAATATATGATTCACAAGCTCCAAAAAGGATATGAAGTCGGGGTCTTACTATAATCACGTAAGAGAGTGAATAAATGGTAGTAGGTGATAAAGAATATGAGAATCACAACGTAGTAACTGACAATATAAAATAATACAAATTGTTCAGACCTTCGAGTAACTATCTTCTTAAATAATCACACAGAAATTACTCTCCCTCACAAGAAATATATTTTTGATGCCACGAATCAAATTGGATTCAGGCTTCAGCTGGAGGGCCCTCGAATTCCATTTCGCATATAGGGCATAGCATTTTCGTAGAATTTTAAGTGGCAACTGGTTTATTATTCTTTCTGTTTCCTCTCTTATTTGTGGAGTTACAAATAAGCGATAGTTGCAATTTCTTATTGGCATTTCCGGGCTGCTTATTCTCCAGTGCAGTCTTGTGCGGTAACGATGTCAGTATAAGGACTCTCTGATAACGATGCCAGTATAAGGACTTTCCTCGCCGCTTTTATTTTCTATTCAATCTTCTGTTTTTGAATGGGCATAATCTCCGATGACGAGTAGTGTTGTTTATCGCGATTCTCTGAGATACGGGTCTGTGACCTGAGAAGGAAGGCTTTCTCTCCAAATTTGAATTGGTCAATGGGTGCAATACTACTGACTTCAAAAGCTTTCACAGCCTTTACAGTTGTAAAATCCTCCATATATGATGGGCGTACAATCCTCCATATATATGGGATGTGTGGTTGTGGACACAAACAGGAAGGAGGCGTGTTAGGCCACCCAGATGCTGGAAGAAATACGTAAAATGTGATATGGAGGCAAGAGGTCTACGATAAGGATCCAGGACAGACCGAAAAAGTTCGCAGTCGAGAGGCGAGGAACTGTGTCAGATATAAAACAACTGGCGGGATAGCTGCCCTCTAGAACCCATGTTCAGGAAGTCAGTGAATTCGAGCCACCTGTTTAGCTAGTATCGAAAATTCTGCCGCCATCGGGAATGGGACCTAGGAACTGCCGGTCTTCGAAGCTTCAACTGCGGTCTCCAATCTCATGCAGCTGGTTTATTGGTGAATGTTTCCGGATTATTTCATTAAAGAACAGTTAAGAAGCCAATGCATATTAAGCAATTTTCTTGCGCAAGTCCTGCGCTCGTATTCATAGGACAAGTGCCGCTCTGACGTGTAACACACAGCCCTTTAGTTCAACATGTATCAAGTTTAACAAACCGCCTACGGTATTAGCAGAATTTCTATCTGAAATTCGGAAAATACCTTATTTCAACGGAAACACACGTTTTGAGATCCCCAGGTACCGAAAAAGTGTTCGTTTGTCTGACCGTCTGTCCATCAGTCTGTCTATCCGTTCGTCTGTCTCGCGTCTTTGAGCACTACTAATTCCTAAACCATGCGTAGGATGTTTCCAAAATTGAAGAAACCTCTGTCCATCTAGCTCGAGTCAAAACTTTGAAATACTTTCGTCAAAATTTTGGGGGTACTTTACATGAAGCTTTCCGGACATATTCAAAATTTTCTCAAAAACAGATCCAATTTTTTAAAGAGGAAATTTTGTAAGAATAGAGAAACATACGCTTATAAAAGTGGCATAGGTCTCACTTTCACGGTTAACTCGGAGTTTTCGAAAATCCATTTTCTTAAAAACGACCCCAACATTTTCAAAGAAAATGGTAATTTGGCCGAGGTTTTGCTGTTCTTTAATACTCATAATATAATATTTCCGTTCTACAATTAGGAAACCGAAAAATTGAGAAATTAAAAAAAAAAGAACTTTACGCGGCGAAAGATGACAGCTCTCAAGAGTATGTGTCATGTTCGTATAGTTAGCCTGGAACAAAGGAAATAGCAAAGTAATAGGGAAAGTCTGTGCCATTCTGAAGCACCACTAGTTATTTTATTTTATAGGTTCTTGTAGTGTAGCCTTATGAATTGCTGCGAAATCCTATGAAATACTACTTCTTTATTTCAGTTGTGGCGGATTATCTTCCCAAATACCTTCTTTGATCGTCCAAAGGACATTTTTTTCCACATTTTCTCGATGTTTCGGCTTCTTAATGCTAGAACTGAAATTACCATGCGCTTATTACTATTATATAATTGTAAAAAGTATGTGCTAAAACCTGGGTCGATTAAGAGCTTTGGAGGGGAAAATAGCTGGTTCGAGTCTTGGTCTGTATTAGTCACAATTCTCTGTTGCAGCAGGAAATAATTGATAATTCCAGAAACTTTATTGAAAACTATTTGAAACAATTCTGATCACAAATATAATTAATTAAGATAAATAAACTGGAAGCGTCTGAATGTCATTTTCAAATTTTCAAGTTCTAAACAATCTCTCTTTGGATTTGTAAAACATCTCGACAGATCAATTGT